AGAGGTGTCAAGAAATATAACTGATGGAAACATGGAGGAATACGAGGTCTTTTTTGATTCAACGATTATGTGTCATATCCAAAAGAATGGGGATATAAGCATGCAAAGTTTTATAAAATCATGTAGTTTCTCACTTAAAGTTGCTCATCGTAAATCATAAAAGCCAAAATAAAAGCTGCTATCCTGAACAATATCAAGTGGTTACAGAGCGTTCTCATTTTCTATTGATTTGGATTGCAGACGTGTGGGTCCACACTCAATGTAAACAAAGCACTTGACTCAATCCACTGGAAGCTTGTGTGCATGCTTTATTCAATAAATCTGAGTGAAAATAGGCACAAATACTCTATAATTGACAGATTTCTTGATCCCAAATGGCTCTTCATAATTCCTGACATATTTTCAGTCCCTTGTGGGTAATCAAAGGCACATTTACCAATTTGGTTAACAATTTTTTGATTTAAGGACACAAACATTATAAGTATGAGAAAAAATTAGCAGATTTGATGTTGACGTTATGATTTTTTTGTGACTGGTTTTCATGACATTGCAATGAATACCTTGAAAATTTGCACTGAAGAGAAATTGTTCTTAATTAATCTATCTGTCTTACAAAAAAATGTATTGGTCCAACACTGTAACCACTAGAAATGATATAGTCTTTACATATGTTATAAAGTACTGTTCAAAAGTAAATGTTTCTATTTAAATAAAAAATTGACAAACCAAATAAAAACCAGACCAAAAAGGATTATATTTTATCAAAGCTAAGCAGTGTCAGAAATGCTGAATAGGTCTGAGTCACCTGACTAACTGCTTGGGGTGAAAGAAACTTTACCTTACCTTGAAAAACACAACAATGACTATAATGACTATAATAATAATATATATATGAGTTGTAGAATTGCGCCGCTCAAGGTGGCTGCATGTTGGAGCAGCTCTGTTACTTTCATTCTGAGATTTTGCTTTTGGAAACATTAAGTCCTCTTTTTCTGGATGTAAATCACATTTTTTGGATGTTTGTTTCCTCTGGTATCAGATGTTGTGCAGCTGGAAGGATTTTTACGGAAACTTTTTTAGTTTTGGACATTTGTTATGATGCGCAACCGCGGCAACAAGGCAGTTTTCTACAACCAACAGCAGTTGATTAACATCTCAAAAGCTCAAATAATATCTCAACTACAGCCCCAAATCTCAAATGAGTTGAAAAGGATGTTCTGTGGACGCATTCTCATCTACCTGCCAGCTGTACTCGAGTGCCTGACCACTGAGATCCTGGAACTAGCAGGAAACACGGCTCATGGAAGGACAGGATCGTCCCTCGGCACCTACAGTTGACTGTCCGCAGCGACAAGGAGCTTGGCAGTCTGCTGGAAGAATTAGCCATCACTCTAGGAGGAGTTCTGCCCGGCATTCGGGCGGTCCTACAGCCCAGGGAAACCGAGAGGCCAGCCGAGTCTGGGTGGACGGATCGGACGGCATCTGCAGCCAGTTTCTTAGGATCCACTGTGGGATGGACCTTTACAAGAGATCCTTCCTGTCTACAGCCATCAGTAGCTATAACATCTCTTAATGAAATGAGGATAACAAGTTACAACAACAAATAATTTCCCTTTGTGATTAATAAAGTATTTTTGAATTTGAATTGTATTTGAATAACTCAGTTTTACAGATATAGAGCTAAAACAGTGACAGCACAATGTGCTGTAGCAGATTGCTCAGGATCCTTGTTTAAAATGTTGCCATTGACTTTATGGAGTCACTTCTTTGTCAGTTTAGAAAAAACAACACTGCAACAAACAAAAACACGTAATGATTAGAATAGGGTTTAATTTATCTTTAATTTTCTGATTAACTTTAGAAGTTAATTCAATATAAAATGGCCGACACAGCCAAACGAACTTTGAAAACACACAAATGCAGTCGTTTTTACAGATGGTGTGTTAAAATTTGATGTGGCAGTATCTGAGAGTCATTCAATACTAAAGCATGAGATCTTTGCCTAAAATTTTTATTTTAACTTTTGGGAGTCAGCCTTGTTTATCTGTTAGCAAAATACATCATGAACCAATGATGTTTCCCGTTCTCACCACAGATCACAATGTCATCTGCAAACATCATAGTACGGCACAGGGATTCCTGCCTGACCTCATCTGTTAGTCGGTCCATCACCAAAGCAAACAAAAAGATGCTCAGAGCTGTTGATGCAGTCCCACCTTCACGGATCGCCGTGGTTTATGAATAAAAACTGTCTTAATTTACTTAGAAAATTACGTGCTCTATCTCCACCGATCTTCATGTAGCTATTTATGCCACTCATATTTCCATTACAAATCAATGATTAAGATGATATGCGACGCATTAGACCTGGGCAGAATGAGAAAAACTCTGCAAGATACAGAATCAATTATTTCCACGGTGAAACAACACCACTCAGTGGTGAAGCTGTATATCATTTTAACCATGACGTAAATATGTCAATGATTTTAACAGAAATACGAGTGGAGTAAATTAGCAACATCGACATGAAAAATCGAAGGAGATAGAGCACATACTTTTCTAAGTAAATTAAGACAGTTCTTATTCATAAACGGAATTATACTAGTCCATTTTCCTTAATCTAGCATATTCAGTGGCGACCTGTGCAACCCAGAAGTATTCCTTTTAGCACATGAGCAAATGAGCAACACTACGGATCATGCTTCCATAACAGATCGGAGAATGACAAGAGCTTTCCGAACTTCACCCTCACTAATCTTTCCCACTTCCTGGTCTACAGTTTCCATGACCTCTACTCTTCTTTCTCTTTCATTCTCTTCATTCATTAGCTCCTTAAAGTACTCCTTCCATCTTTCTATCATGCTCTCCTCACCTGTTAGAACATTACCATTCCTATCTTTAACATGCCTAACTTGTTGCACATCCTTTCCAGCCTGATCCCTCTTTCTCGCCAATCGGTACAAATCCTTTTTGCACTCTTTAGTGTCCAACCTCCCGTACAACTCATCATACGCCTTCTTCTTTGCCTTACCTCCCTCTTTGCTCTACATTGCATCTCCTTCCAGTATATTCATGTCTCCTCACTTCAGTCCTCTCACTGTCAAATTTCTTCTTGGCTAACCTCTTCCTTTGAATAGCGTCCTGCACTTCACTATCTCACCACCAGTTTTCCTATCTTTTCTCTTACCAGATGACACACCTTCCTACATGTCTCTTTAATTGTTGCTGTAGTAGCCCAGTCATCTCGAAGCTCTTTCTTATCACCCAGAGCCTTTAACAGCTCCTTTCTGAACTCCTCGCAAAATTCTTCTTTCCTCATCTTCTACCATTTGGTCTTCTTCTTCTCTGATTTTACTCTTTTTCTCTTCACAACAAAAGTCATAATCATCCAATGCTGTCTGGCCACGCTCTCCCCTGCCACAACCTTACAATCCCCAATCTCCTTCAAGTTTCCTCTTCTACACAGAATGTAGTCTACATGTGTCTCTTTCTCCACTCTATAGATCACTCTATGTTCCTTCCTCTTTTGGAAATAAATGTTGACTACAGCCATTTCCTTTTTTTTTTTT